ACATACAATTCCCAGTGAGATCTTCCCAATCAACGCCCCCACCCCTCGCCACCACTAAAAGCAGCTTTCTCAGATTAATCGTTGTGTCTCACAGATAGGCCGCACTATGGAGAGAAAAAAAGGACAAAAAAGAGGAGGGGACGGGGGGGTGATGGGGGGGTGAAGGGAACAGCGAGGCGAGGATGAGGATGGGGACAGAAATGTGAAGGATTATACTGCTTTGGGGTTGATAAATACTTATTTGTCATTCTATGGCCCTTATCTTGCTGTGCATGTTTTGTTGAGCCCTTTGGTGTATGTGTGTGTGTGTGTGTGTATGTGTGTGTGTGTGTGTGTGTGTGTGTGTGAGAGAGAGAGAGGGAGACAGAGGCTATGTGTGTGCTGTACGACTGTGTATGTGCGTTTAAGAGTCTCTGTCACTCGGCTTTAGAGGCCAAGCTACCCTGTCCAGAGCAAAGCAAAGGGTATTAATGCCCTACACACACACACACACACACACACACGCAGGGTTTCACAGAAATGGATGAGCATATGAGGAATATAACGAACGGGACAGTGAAAAACAAGTGTGTGTGTGTGTGTGTGTGTGTGTGTGAAGGACTCTCTCGTGAGGAGGGAGAGCTCACTGGGAGCCACTGACCCCATTATGATAGAGAAACCCTCCTCTCTCTCTCTCTCTCTCTCTCTCTCCGCCCAGCTACTGCGGCCTCGCTCGTCCTCTGCCTCTCTGCCAAACTGGCTGCATTTCCTCTTCCCACCAGAAGAGGTCAGGCTAACTCCTCCTTACATGACAGCGGAGAATTTGTCCACTGCTCATGTCCAGTGTTCACTTGTTCATTTCATAAGGACCGTGCATATCTGGTTTTTGTCTCATATATGAGGCCGTATATGAGACATTAAAAGGGGAGCGGAGACGAGGAAGAAAAGTAAATATGATCCGGTTGTAGGAGGATCAAAACTAGGAACAAGGAAAGCAGAATGGAGCTAAAGAGGAAAAGAGAGAGTGTTTTCCCTCAGGTCCAACTGCTGCTGTATTGATTTGTAGATGGAGAAACGGATGAAAAGGAAGGACAGAGGACGAGGAGGGAGGAACAGAGGGAGGGAGGCTCCGGTCGCTCCCCAGAGGGCCTCACGGCGCTGCGAAGGACTGCTGCAAATAGACCAAAGGAGAGGAGCAAGGAAAGGAGGAAAGAACAGAGAGGGAGGCATCAGGGAGGAAGGAAATGAAGGGATGACAGTCTGACACGCTTCGTACGACACACTCCCCGACAACTCCTCTTCATTTACACAGTAGTCAGGGGCTGGCTATCGATTATGCAGCCCTGTAATCAATCAGTGTGTGTGTGTGTGTGTGTGTGTGTGTCACAGTGTGAGATCTGCTCTACAGCAGAGTAATTGAAATATTCCACAGACAGAGGGTGACAGAAGAAGGTGCGAGTGGAGAGAATGAGGATGTTTACAAAGAAACTCCACCTGTGTTATTTTTAGAATAAAAGAATATTTTCAGAATAAAAGCTTTTCAGCAAAGTGAAGAGAGTTTGTCCCCTAAATTTTAGGAACGTTTTAAAGTGAAACAGCTGAACCGACATTTGTAGTCACAGTAATTTATAATATTTTAATTATGATAAAAAAATGTGTTTTAAACTGAGGAAACTAGGACGGCATAAATAAAAACAAAAGTCTGTCGTTATGTAAAAGTTTTGAAGCTGCTTTTTTACATTTTGGTGTATTTTACTGCAAATTTCCTGAAAGGTTTGATTTAAAATGTATGTGAATTCAGAATTTTATTTGATCTTTTAACCGAGGACATGAGACGCAGCAAGAATCCAGGCCGGCCCAGTCGATACAGGACTGTCAAACTGCTCAGAGAGAGCGAGGCTAAAGCCTGCAGAGCCACGGGCCCCGGGGAAATATGGCCCTGTCGCATTACCCACGCTGACACACACAAACAGGAACAGATTCATAGACTGCACTCACGGCTAAGGCCACATGCATGTGCATGTACACACACACACACACACACACACACACACACTCCCAGGAAAAAACAAAAACAAGCAGAACAGAAAACTAGAATATACACACACACACAGCCTCATGGGGAACAGATAGAGATAAGAGCAAATCTAATCCTATCTGCTGCCTACACCATTACGCACACACAAAAATGGGGGGGTGCCTTTGTGTTGAGTTATAGAGGGGGGAGGAGCGCCACCGCCGTCTCTAATATGTACGTGTATGCACAGGCGCGTGATGGTTGTTTAGCCCGGTCAGCCTGTGCAGCTGCACCGCTTCTTTGGCTCAATCAGAGTCAAACTTGCAGGTACGATCGCACACTTGATGATGTCACAGGTGCACTTTGACAAGCAGGTGCCAAGTGTGTGAGTCACAGGAAGAGGAAGCACTGCTGCTGGAACAACGCCGTGTGTGTGTGCCTGTGTGTGTGTGTGTCTGTGTGTGTGTGTGCGTGTGTCTGTGTGTGTATGTG